GCCTTCAGGTTCGGACCCCGAACGCTCGTACGTATAGAGGTCGGCCCGGGGACCTCCGTACGTACGGGCTGGTGACACTGTACATATATATATTATATATATAATCAAACAGAGCTTCCCATTAAACCGTAGGCGGAGAGGGAGAAGACGACAACAAACGAGGGGCTGTGACGAACTGTTTCGTCGGAGTTTCATCGACTCATCAGGAGGCTGAATAGTCAACCGTCTGCAAAACCCGCTAACTGATTACATTGGAAGTGATAATCCACCTTAACCCCGGCTGTGGTTAAGCATCAACGACTGCCCAACAAATGTTACCCTGAGGTGGGCACCAACCACTGCCCTCAAGGTACCTGTATATATATTGTCACATTGTGAATCAGAGCGCAAAGGCGAAAAAAAGCAAAACAAGGAAAGGAAAAAAAAGTAAAGAAGGAAAGCCCCACCTGTTCATCACCTCTTACGTACAAGGCCAGCCACGTGGATGACAGGTTGAGCGCTGGCTGGCCCCATCCCCGTGTGTCACAAGGACCCACTTGCACGCAGCCAAAAGGCAAAAAAGAGGTAAAGAAAAGGAGGAGGAAACCAGACCTCACAGAGGCAAGAGAAAGAGAAAGGTAAAAGAAAAGATAAAGGAAGAAAGCAAATTACACATCCCACAGATAAAAAAGAGGTAAAGAAAAGGAGGAGGAAACCAGACCTCACAGAGGCAAGAGAAAGAGAAAGGTCAAAGAAAAGATAAAGGAAGAAAGCAAATTACACATCCCACAGATAAANAAGGAGGAGGAAACCAGACCTCACAGAGGCAAGAGAAAGAGAAAGGTCAAAGAAAAGATAAAGGAAGAAAGCAAATTACACATCCCACAGATAAACCAATTGCCTCTGTCACTACCAAAGTTCAACATTTTTTTTTCTTTTTTTTAGTTTTCTTTTTTCTTTTCTCCCGAATTTTGTACTTTTTCTTTCTTTTATCTGTCCTACAATTAGTGTTGCTCCTGATCGCTTGATTCTATTGACCAGTCGGGAAGAGGAGCCCCCACCCCACCTCGGCAGATAGGACAGGCACGCTGAGGATGATGTGGATGTTCACAAGGATACCCAAGGAGAGCAACTTTAGCACAGCATTCAGCAGGATGGCTAGCACGGACCATCCCATCAAAACAGTCCTAACAAAGGACATGCTGTCCACATGTCAAAAAAACAGCAGGACGTTCATCACAGTGCGGCATCATGCAGTCCTGATAGCGTCCTTGAGCACAAAAGGGACAGCGAATATCTGGGTGATAGGGATGTGTACAATGAGGAAATGTTGGACATCCTTCAGCACAGACGGCGGTGGCTGCAATAAATTGATAATGTTGATGGCATAGGTGATGAATTCCGCAGCCAAGACGCACCGCGTCCCTGTCCCGACAGGTGTCACATGAGAGTTGATCTATAATCCAGAATAAAGTATGATTCGGTATATATATCGTCAAATAGAACTGCCCGGTAAACCGTAGGCAGAGAGGGAGAAGAGGACAACAAACGAGGGGCTGTGACAAACTGTTTCGTCGGAGTTTCACCGACTCATCAGGATATCTATATATCGTCACTATCAGGAGACGTCTCCCCCGCACGTCTCCGGGAGACAGTCAGGGGGAGTTGTCCGAGATCCCGATATATATATATCGTCACAAATAGAACTGCCCGGTAAACCGTAGGCAGAGAGAGAGAAAAGGACAACAAACGAGGGGCTGTGACAAACTGTTTCGTCGGAGTTTCACCGACTCATCAGGAGGCTGAAGACGTCTCCCCCGCACGTCTCCAGGAGACGGTCATGGGGGAGTTGTCCAAGATCCCGGGCAACAGCTTTTTGGCCAAAAAAAAAAGGAAGAAAGAAAAATAAACCGGGGGGTGTTTGCGCACCACTAGGGGACCCCCCCCAAAACATTTCAGGCCATTCTGAGCAAAAATGAAAAAAAATGGTAAAAAGAGGGGGAGGGGTGCGGGTTAATGGAGGGCCCGCTGCTACACACGACGAGGACGACGAGGACGAAGAAGAAGAGGAGGAGGAATATGAGGAGGGGGCATAGGCGATGGAGGAAGAGGAAGAGGAGGAAGTTGAAGAAGAGGAGGAGGAGGAGGAGGAAGAAGATGAGGAGGAGAAGGAAGAGGAGGAGGAGGAGGAAAAGGGGGAAGAGGAAGAAGAAAGAGGAGGAGGAGGAGGACAAGGCAGTGGAGGAGGAGGAAAAAAAGAAGAACAGTAGGGGGAGATGGTCGAGGAGGAAGAGGATGTCTTCTTTTTTTTTCACCACAATCTTTGATGATTTCCTTTTTCTTTTGATGAATTAAAACTGACTGAAAACTTCACTTCTCAAAGAACCCACAATATTTTTTTTCTGAAAAAAAAATAAGAACTTTAAAACTCTAAGCCCTAAATTGAAAAAAAAAACAGGGGAAAAAAAAAACAGAAAAACTTCAAAAATTGAAATAGAGAATTGGGGAGCATATTTTTTACACCACCATCTTTGGCGATTTTTAGTTTTTTTTCTGCTTGTCAAAATTCTGCAAAACTCTATGGGCATATGCCTTATCTGCAGGAGAATCCACAGAAAAAACTTAAAAAAGGAACAAAAATATTTAGATATTGTTATGCAGGTTCGGACAGAGGGCTCTGGTCGGACGTTTGGCCCGGTTGTCCAGGCGTTCATCCCGGACGGTCAGGGGGGTCCCCGACGTCCGATCAGGTAACAATCGAATTTCAAACCATCCGTACACTCGCACCCACGCACACATACAGATACACATGCACCTCTCTCTCTCCCTCTCTCTCTCTCTCTCTCTCTCTCTCTCTCTCTCTCTCTCTCTCTCTC